CTCTCTCTCTCTCTCTCTCTCTCTCTCTCTCTCTCTCTCTCTCTCTCTCTCTCTCTCTCCTTCCTGGCTTCATGAACTGAGCATCTTTCCTCTACCATGCCCTCTGCCATGATGTTTTGCCTTACCTCAGGCCCTGAACTATGGAATCAGCAGCCAACCATGGACTGAACCTCTGAAGCAGTGAGTCAAAGTACCATGCGATTCAGACTGAACATCTCAACATGTTTTAAAGATGTATAAGAAAAATATGACCTACATTACTGACCAGTACTTACTCTCTGATACTACCTCATCACTTTTTCACATTTACTCCTTTATATGCTTACATTTTTCAACATGTACAATGTATTTCAATTTGGGGGAAAAGTGAGTTCATCAATATTAAATATTTAAAATCTCAAAATTTTACTTTTTCAATTGTAAAGCAAAAGAAATAAGCCAAGATAGAATTAGGAAACCTAGTTTCTCATTAATATTTCTAGTTTTTTAGCCTTGGGATGATCATTTAATGTCTCTGAAAATATCTTGCTCATTATTAAATACTAAACAGATATCCCAAAGAATAAAGAAATCCTAACCCTCATGCTAAAATGTTATAAATTTTTTATTTCTACTCTAGGAAAATAAAATATTAAAATTATGGTTTTATTTATTATCAAGTAAACAAATATGTGGAGAAGCAAACTCATGCAGTATTGAACAATGGTTTTTAATATCTTACAGATTACTCAAATCTTTAAGTTTGTATTAACTAAAAAGTTGAAAAAAACATATTTTTATGCTTAATGCAGAATAAATTATGAAAACATTTAAAATTACATTTAAAATACATTTAAAATTTTTTCTGTGACCCAAGAAAATCCTCTTATTCTCACAGCCTTTACCACAGTAATGAAGACCTTCCAAAAGAACATTTTAGTGAGTGTCATAAAACCTGTGATTTATAAAAAATGCTACTTTGACTTTTAAGTTATTATCAGTCTGAAGAGCTCCTCCAAACCAGAACTATTATAGAATCTACTCCCAAACCACTACTTGGCAACAAAGATGAATCTACCTATTACCAGGTTAGGGTAGCAGCTATTATCATGGCCCCTTGATTTCTTTCAAGTAGCTCCAATGGAAAAAGCCATAAGTGAATAATAAAGATCTCATAATAGCTCTTAAGAATTCTTTATGTGGTAGAAGGTACTAAAATGAACTGTGGAGAGTTAAAAAGAGGGAAAAAAAACTCTCATCTCCTGATAAGAAAAAATAATTAACCTGATTTAATGCATCTGAGAAAGCCTTCTATAAATCAGACTTTTGTACTTCAAGAGCCAGATTAAAACCATATATAAAAAAGTATGTAGATATTGTCTTATAAGTACACATAACACATTTCTAAATCTGCAGAGGTTTTTAGGTCTTTTTGTGAAACACTCAATACATGCTATTTAAAAGGAAAGTGTGAAGTACTTACAGTGCTTAATTTGCTAGAGGTAATAATGATGCGCCTTTCGTGCAGCATACTGGCATACAGTTGCAGCATATTGTTCACATCCACAGCAACAAAATATTCTGTAAGATTTCTCTGTACAAGTGAAAAATAATTCTCAAGTTACAGCTTATGGTGAATATGAAGAAACACATTTTATACTTTTATCAAAAAGTTTTAAAGTTCAAAGGATGTTGTTATTAAAAGTGGCATTCATTAAAATAATTAAATTTAATACTATTCTGCTGCTACATGAAGCATGCAATATTCCATTATTATTGGAAGCATAACCCTCTCCACAAAAGTGTTTCTCAGAGGGTGATCAGAGGGTCGCATATTTCCCAGCCTCCCTTCCCCAACACCAAGTATTTGAAAAGAAGCTGATTTCCTGGGCCCCCACCAAACTACTGAATTATTATCTTCAGAGTATGGTCCTAAGAAACTGCTGTTTAAACATATACTCCTGATGATTCTTACAGACAGTGATTTTTGAAAAACCACTGTTCCAGAATTCTCTGAGTCTTCTCATGTTTGTCATTCACTCTGCAGGCAAAAATCATTGTCCAATACACAAGACAACCAAAGGTTAAGATGGATTTATAAGAAGTCCTTGATTCTTTATTAAGGAATATCCTTTGTTTATACCACATGTCAGGATTGCTTTATACCACTATAACCAAATGTATTTGGTGATATCCTAAATTGATTCCTTGATTTAACATTCTTATAAGATGTATCCTACATAAGAACAAAATTGGGACGAATTACATTGATTTTCAGATTCTCTCCTTGAAATTACTAATTTTTAGCTTTCTGTAATCAAATTTAAGCATATCAGAAAGCAATAAAGTAATGAAGAAACTTATTAAGTTATGATAATAAATTGAAACTGTACTACCAGGTGGACTATGACCTGGAAGGATGAAACTTAGTTGGGCAAAAAGAAAAGAAATCCTGCTTTTTTTTTTTTCAATTTTGAAAAGACAGAAACTTTATCAGAATAAACTTGTAGTCAGAGAAGAACATATATCAGTAGAGACTATATATCAGTCAGTGATGTTGAATTGATGGGGAGAGATCCATTTCCTGTTTTATTAAGGCCCACTTCACCTTCCACTTCAACACTGCATATACAAAGTTACATTCACAACATTAAATATTAATATTTTCCTATAATTTTAAAGATAGATAATTTTTAGATAGGGAATTATTTCACAACACAGAATGCTTCTTGATATTTCTGTCCTTTGTTTGTTTGTTTGTTTCCCCCTAAACAAGACTTTTTTGCTAAATAAAATGTGTTAAGGGAGATTTAAAAAACTTTTATTCTCAGTGGCATTTCATTAGAATGTTTATTTCTCTAAAACTTTCAAAGTAATAGTCTTTAAAAATCCATGGTATTTGTTAATTAAAGCTATTAGTTGTCTGTTGGTAAATGTAAGAGAAAGATGGAGAGGATAGAAGGTAGAAGAGAGTTACTTTGACTTTGTATTAGAAACTCTGGCTACTTTAATGAACTGACCACAGCAGTGGAGGGGCCACAACCACATAAGCCAAGATATGGTCAGTTGTCCATGAGGTAAATATAGGAGGATGCCCTGTGCACAAGGTGCAGAGGTCAAGACCCCACTATCTGTGATGGGCCTTGACACTTGAGGATCTATCTCAGGCCCATAGTAAGAGAAATAATGCTAAGTCTTTTCATAAGGGTTGTCTAAAAAAATCCTTTTAAATAGGGTGTCCCAGGATTCACCTCTACTAGAAACAGTTTTGATTAGATATTCTATTTTGAGTATTAGAATATTTACACTTGCCTTCTTTATTTTCACTCAGTAGGTTTGAAAACATTTGAAAAAAGAGTAGAATTCTTAGGTAAATAATAAGTGTATTTGAACATATTTTTTTCCAATTGATTTTCCCTTGACTTTTGATTGAATTATTTAGATTCAGTTCAACTTTCCAAGAGAAACTGAAGAAAAAGTATATAAGGGAATATTATATTTTCATAGTTATTTAAAAAAGCAAAAAATATTTGTTATTTCCACTTACCCATGTAAACTTTTCCATAAAATATTAATTTGTGACATTATAGAAACTATAGAGGCTCTTAAATGAAAAATTATTTAACAATAATTTTTTCACACAAGTAGTTAAGGCCAAAAAGAGTACATTACCAAAGATTTTTTACACATATACACACACCTCAACTTGATTCAAGGAAGCTCAGGACCTAACTGAATATGTAAGACCCTACCTAAGTGTTCTAAATGACGAAATATTTTCCCTCATATCATTTTTCTTAATTTTCTTTATCAACAATATATTAATTTGAACTCTAATTGAAATGCAAAATTAATTCATTTTTCCAATTTCTTATAATACTCTTCAAGCTTCATGAAATATATATTACTTTAAAATAAAACCAGGAAATCAAGTATAGGACACTTAGATTAGGACAGAGTCATAGACAAGAAATCTAAAATGCAGTGGTCAGTTCATTAAAGTAGTCATCTCCTGAGACACGTTCTCAGCTTTGTATAGGGAAGCAGAACGTAACAGAATGTTCATAACTAACTATTCCTCAGATAATTTTTCCCAATTTTCTTACCAAGGACATATTAAGAAAGGTATAACAGGGCAGATGCATAAAGAGGAAAAGAATACAACACCATTATTGTTTATCTCTTCATTATTTCTCACAAATACAGACAGTTATAATGTATCTTATTTCTCTATGCAGGAATCCATAAGAGTGAGACCAAAATAAATAAAATTTGTAATATAAGTAATAAAAGTAAAAAAACAGAAAACTTACACTCTCAGGTATTGTTGGGAGTCCAGTTACATCAGGGGCAATGAAGTAGGAATGCTAATCAGTAAAAATAAATCATGTAAGAAAAGAATTAAATTTTGGGATTAAAAATAAGAAAATTGTTTAATTAATAAATGTCATGGGCTGACACTCAAGATTTGTTGAATTTAAGGAACTCTTAAATGAAAGAGAAGGTTTATATAAATTTAACAATGACTTTCCGGTTAAGGCCAAAAAGAGTATATTACCAAAGATTTTATACACATATACACATACCTCAACTTGATTCAGGGAAACTCAGGACCTAACTGAATGTGTAAGATCCTACCTACATGTTCTAAATGAAGAAATACTTTCCCTCATATCATTTTTCTTAATTTCTTTATCAACAACATATTAAGAAATGTATAACAGAACAAATAAAAAGGAAAAAGACATAAGACCATTATTCTTTATTTCTTCATTATTTCTCACAAATGCAGATATACTCATAATTATACTATTCTTCTATGCAGGAATCCATAATGTAAGTAAAAAAAGAACAAAAAAATTATACACACACACACACACACACACACACACATATACACCTGTATGTATGTGTGTGTATACATATATATATAATTACGAGTATATATTCTTAAAACATATTTAATTTAGGTAGACTAGAGAAATAAAGCTTCTCCTCCCAAAAATATGTCAAAATATATTAAAATTCCAGAGTTTATAGGCTAAGTTACAATAAATCTCTTTGTAAAACACAGTTATTAAATGCTTAAATCTTAAAAATATAGTTGCTCATCACAAAATGACCTTCACACACCAAGTGAACAAGGATCAAATGCTACAATGTACCAAACAATACAATAGCTCACTGAAATATTTACATTCAAAACATAGTATATATGCCTTCATATTTCCCACAATATTTACAAATATTTATAAAAATCAAAGTGTAACTTAATCATCAAAAACTGTTTTATTTTCTGTTCATATTAAGCTCCAAATTATTTTAATATCTTGATTTAGTATCATCTTTATAATTAAAGACTCAGACAGAAACTTTTCTAGGCATTATTAGAGCACAATTAAACTAGAGAGAACAAGGCTGGTTAACACAGTCATAATGTATCATTTTCCATGGTGGAAAAATAATCTGAGATAAACCACAAGATAATCTTGTGACAAAAATTTCATGCTGTGAATGTGCTTTACAACTGCTTTTTCTGAAGATGGAGAACATGCATATTTGGTCTCTATTAATTTTATTTGGATAGGTTTTCAATAACTATATTTGATAAGACCGTGGTTTAAAAGATAGTATAAACAGAAAATATATTCGAAATGATTATTTTTTTAAAGAGTAAGTCTACCATTTCCCATAGGACTGAGGTGAATTTTAAAGGCAGAGAAAAAGAAGCAACTTTTTTCCCAATTTCATAATGATTTTTAGAAGCCAATGTCTTTCAACTCACCGGTATTAGTGAGAGCTGATCTTTCAATACTTGCTCACTGGCAATAAATATTTCTTGATTCTTATAATACATAAGAAAAAATGAATATAGGGGAAACTTATGTAAAAGTGTTTTTGAGAGAAACTCATGCAGCTACATTATCCATTGATTATAAGTGTTATTTTAAATGCTGATTTGGTAATTCTATGCTAGAAAAAATCCTAAAGAAAGTATTTTTATATTGTAGGAGTAGAGAACACTATGGTTATTTAATGATTTTGAAACACAGTTTCAAAAAAATCAATTTTTAGACATTTAACATCTCATAAAATCTGATATTCTAGTGACCACTAACCCACTTTCAAGAAAACTTCCATGATCATAAATTTTTAATCTGGCAACATAAAATTAAAATCTCTACTAGTAATTGAAGATAAATGTTCTAATCCCAAAATTGTCCCTCATTAGCAGTGTGTAACATTGGGTACATTCTGTTATTAGAAGCAAATGAAATTTAAACATAGGTAACAAATTATTTTACCAAACACTTGAGACTAGGTGTAGAAAATGTGAAAGATATCATAGGCTATTCAAAGACCTAATTTACCAAAATATATATAGAAAAAATCTCAACATAAATAGCTATCAAGAAAATGCAAATCAAAACCAAAATGTGTTATCACCTCACCCCAGTTACAATGTTATTATCCAAAAGACAAAAAATAATAAGAGTTTTGGAGGGTATAAAGGGGAACTTTTATACATTGTTAGTGGAAACGTAAATTAGCACAACCATTATGGAAAACAATATAGAGGTTCTTCCAAAAATTAAAAATAGAAGTGCCATATGATTCAGTATCCCCACTACTAGGTGTCTGGCCATAAGAAGGGAAACCAGAATGTCTTCACTCCCAGGTTCAATGCATCATTGTTCATAACATACCAGACATGGCATTAACCTCCCCATCTGACAATGAATGCATAGGTATTTTTAAATGATACATATATGCAACAGAATATTCAGCAATAAGAAATGAAATTATGTCATTTGTGGCAACATGCATGAAAATAGAGCTTATTATCTTAAATGAAACAAGTCAGTCACAGAAGGATATATAAGTGATTTAACTCATATTTTAAATCTAAAAATTTTTCATAGAAGCAGAGATTCCAAGTATAACTAACTGGTTCTGATTTCACTGTCATATAATCTACACATACACAGCACTGCATCCCATAAATAGGTAAAATTATTATATGTCAATTAAAGGAAAATACATTTTCATAACTCTTTAGCAAAGTGTCAGAATCACTACAAACATAATACTTTCCAAGAAAGAGGAGTTCTTTTTGGAAAACCAACGATTATTCTTTGTTTTGCTTGCACTTTCTGCTGTATTGCCACTAACCATACACACTGCATTCTTTTGGCTTTCATGACCTATGAGTGTGAATTTCTCCCTATCTGCTCTTTCCTCTGTTTTTTCCACTGGATTTCTTTTCTTCATCCTCACAGTCTAATTGGGCAATTAGACCTTAGCCTCTTCTCCATATTCTCTACAGTATATTCTTCACAAAGCTACAACTATCTCTGCTGATGACTCTCAAATTTGATTAAAAATATCCAGGGTCTTCTTGGGTTTCCATCCCCAGTCTCTTTCCACTTTGGCAGTATCCAACGAAAGATAAAGCAGACACAAGGCAGCAGAGATCACAGGACAGAAAGAACACATTGAAGTGTGTGCCAAGAGCTTCACAAAGGTGGAAACTGAGCTATAGACAGTCTTTAAATAAGATTCAGTGCAAAAGGAAAGCAAGATGTTCATTCAAGAAACTGGGCTAAACAATGTGACCACTAAAGGTAATGATTTAAGAAAAAATTGTGATACAGAACATGAAAAGTTAGAGTAAAATTAGGAATTGGATGGTCCAGAAAGCCTGGCCAAAAGTTCAAACAAATTCTGTATATAAAATGAGGAGTTGTTTTTCAGTAATGGACTTTACAAGGTTTAAGATAGTTTAATTTGAAGAAAGAACTGGAAGGAAAAATTCTAGACTAAGGACAATCTGAAGTGCTTAGCACCTGAATGCGGGTGTGACAGTGAAAATGGAGTTAAGTAAGAAAAAAATCTATTATTAAATTATAATATAAATATAATTTTATAAGGCAAGGAGAAAGTTGTTACCAAAGAAACAATAATAATAATGATTTCCTTATCTTGCAAAAACACAAAATACCTATTACTATCTATATTTCAAATTACTTATCCTAGCAATTTTTCTTGCCTGGGAAAATTTTTTCTTGTTTGTTAATATGGAAGTTTACTCTCATTGTGAAAGAAACAAATCAATATAAATAAAATTCAACCTTCAGTTTCACATGCCAAAGTAATGGAGAATATTAATGAAAATATCCACATTTTACTACCATGAACTTTGTTTTTAGTCTATTTTTAGATATAGATGGCACAGTTCATTAAAAAGTTCAATAGTAAACAGGCTTGCTGTTTTGACAAACTCTAATGAGTCTTACATTATTTTGTGATTATATCAGAAGACATATTTCAGACTAAGGAAAGAACAAGAACTCTTCATCCAGTATTTTCATCCTGCATGTCATTTGTGGCAATATCATTTTCTATTCTTATTAACAATTGTTTCCATTTTAGGGGGACTAGTGATTTTATATACACATATACACACACACACATTTTGTATGTACTCCTTTATTTATACATGACTTTCACCTGAAGTATGAATGATCATCACAACCATTCAGTTCATCAGATCATCACAACCTCACAGTTATTTTCAGTTCAAAATATTTTCTAGTGCTTCAGTTTAATAACTACTAAAATACACAACTCAAATATATCAAGTTATGACAATTATAGCTCATCAAAAGGCTCAAAATTATCACCTACTAATCTTAGTCCTATCACTAAAGCTTCTCCAGAAGCAGAAGCATAGGTGACATGGTAAATAATTTTTTAAAGTAACACTGTTCTTAAATGAGAAACTGCTAAGATTTCTTAAAGCATTTAGTGATTACTTACCACACTCAAAGTGACGGGAGTGTTTGCCTTTGGTACTGGGTGGTTATAGAGTGATTTGAGTGTTTCATTCAAATCATTTTCCTAGAACATAAAAAAAAATCAATTAATAAATGAAATATAGCAAGCAAATACAATCAAAATTACTCTAGTACATTACTAGTGGGAACGTTAAATGATGTAGCCACTGTGGAAAATGGTAGAATGGTTCCTCAAAAACTTAAATACAGAATTACTGGATTACCCAGCATTAACCCCTCTAGGTATACACCAAGAAAAACTGAGTGTAAGATTGAAAGATGTGTATTTGTACAACTGTCTTCGTAAAAGCAAAGCCAAAAGGCAGATACAATCTGTGTCCACCAACAGTTGAATAAAATAACAGACTTCAGCATACACAGATATAATGGAAAGCCACCTTCAGTCTTTAAAAAGAAAGGAAATTCTGACACATGGTACAACATGGGTATCTTGAATATAAGGATAAATATTGTGTGATTCCACTTACATGAAGTACATAGAATCATAGTGGAAGATATAGTATAATGGTCATTTTCAGGAAAGAGGATAAAAGGAAATGGGTAGTTAAAGTCTAATGGGTATTAAGTTTCAGATTGTCAATATAAAAACTTCTAGAGATGTCTAGAATTGATGGATGTAGAATAATGTGGATATATTTAATGCCACAAAACTATATATTTACAATGGTTAAAATGATAACATTTTATGTTATGTATATTTTAACACAATAAAAATAAAATAAAAATATAGCTTACCAGTTCCTTAGCCAAGTAATCTGCCAGAGTATTTAGAAGCTTGTAATATACTTCAAACCACGGCAAGTAACTATGACAAAACAAATTATTTTAAATGTGCATTTGTATATACACGTCCACATATTTAAAATTTATAATCATAAAAAGGCAGATTAAATAATCATTAAATTTATAATGTTTTGAGCAGACTGATCCTAAAGAACAGAAAAGAACTATACCTACATTCTATTCTCTTTACTGTTTCAGAAAAATTTTACACATTATCCACTATTGGTTCTCATAAAACAAATCACAAATCAAAGATCTATTTGAAAAATTGCCCATTACATACTTTTTTTTAATATCAACAGCATCTAAAAATAATCCTAGTTCATAGTAATAACTAAAAACACAGGATAAAAATTAACCATTGTAAAGATAATATTATATAAAAACTAATGTTAAAAAGCTTTAAAAATAATATATAATTACAGTCATGTGTCATTTAATTACGGAAATACATTCGAGATATGTGACCTTAGGCAATTTCCTTATGTGAGCACCACAGAATGTACTTATACTTGCTTGTCCTTATACAAGCAAGGTGGCTTCAATGTCACTACTGTCACAATCTTATGGGATCACCATTGTACTGGTGGCCTGCCATTGACCTTCACATCATTATGCATCACATAACTATATTTCTTTTTAAATATTACTACAAAGAAAAACTAATAGAATTATATGTTTACTCAGTTCTTCAGAAATGATGTTTAAGTAGGATGATAAATTTCAAAATAAATATTAATATAAATATCAGAAAGACTAATTTAAAAATTTCAAAAAGTAATAATTGTTTTTAGATACCAAAATCAAAAATGACTTAAAGTCATTCTAATTCATTTTACTAGATCAAAGTGTAATTTTTTATGAAAGTTAAATACTAAATCCAAAAATCATCTGTATGCAATAAAATCTATATTATTATTAACAAATAAAAATACTAGTGTATTTAAAATTGGTCCAAAGTTATTAATTTAACATTTATTACCATGTTTCATTTCCAAATGGAAAAAGAGTAAATCACAACAGTTTTGTTAATTATGAATTAACAAATACCCATTTTTTTTCTTCAAAGCATTAGTATAGTAAGCTACTTTTAAAGAGAAAACACTGTTGTACTTCTACCAAACAATGGTCAGAGAAGAGAATATGCATAAAGCAAATTAAAGAAAAAATAATCAATGAACTAAGCTTAGACAAACAGTATTCTATTAGAATTTCCTCATAGAATATTTTCTTTACTAGTGATGATGAATGATGCTTTTTGAACCATGAATAACCTAAAGTCATAACAAAATAGGAACAGTTAGGCAAACTATAGTACTTTTACTCAGCAGAATAATACAAAATTCTTTAAGATAATTACAAATAGTAACTAAAAACATGGAAAGTTCCAATAATGTTTAAATATATTTACACAACTTGTTAAAACTAACAAACTTAATAATGCATTTATCTGTGCCATTTGGAAATACTATTAAAATAGCAATAAATGAGTAAAAAGGGTATGAATTGATATGTACAAGGGAAACTTAAAAACCAGCAAGACAGTAGATGTTAAACCCACCTCTGCACATAGTATATTTCCAATTCACTTTACTACCATACTCTTGAATGTAAATGAACAGTCCAACCACCCAAAACTTGATCAATACAGACACAAATGCATTTTTGTAATGAACAAATATAAAAGGATCTCCAAATAAATATAGACTATGAAAACAGCAGAAGAGAATTTCAAAACTTTCCCTAATATCCTTAGGAGCAGAATAAAGAACAAGATCTTATTAAACAAAACTAGATTTAAATTTTAAAAAATGGAGGAAGAAATTATTATAGAACAAAAATAGAATTCTTGTTGGAAGTACTAAAAACACAAGTATTTTAAATCAATGGGAAGGTAGAAAGTACCATAAGAAAATCTCCCAGAAACTAGAATAAAAAGACAGATAGATAATAATGTTAAAACATCAGGGCATTATTAGTCTCATATATCATGTAGTTGACAAGTAGCAGCTATTTAAAAAAAAAAAAGAAAAAAAAGGGAAGAAGTGAAAATTTCTCTCTTGAAAATGAATGAAAATTTTCATAGAACTTCAGATCCAAGTTTCCTGATTAAAAGGGTGACTGAATAGCACAACAAATGAGCCAAACCAGAGCATCACCATGAAATTAAAGAAGGGGGATAGAAAAGTGACTAAGAGTTCCCAGTTACACTAAACAGGTAACATACAAAGGAGTCACGTTCAAACTATCACTGTACCTCTCAAAAGCAATGTCTTCAAAATACGAAGTTAAATTTCATGTTCAGAGAAACTATCTGCAAAAGTATGACCATAGAATAATACCATTCTCAATTGTGTAAGGACTCAAAAATTCTCCTAAGCCATCCTCAACAAAATAAGGGCAATTAAGAGGGAAGAATGCAGGGAGATACAGAAAACTAGAACTCCAAGACCATGGGAGTACAGAGAAGTCCAAGGATAAGAATTGTCCAAAAGCCTAGAAAGCAACCACTCCAGACTGAAATGAAAACAAAAGCTTCCTAAAGAAATGCTGGAATAGGTGTTTGCAACAAGCATGCTGACAGCTTTGTGTGAGAATCTGAAAAAATTTGGAAAGGGATGTGACAAATTTGTGAAAGCTTTTGGGGAATCTGAAAATCAGAAATTAGTATTGACAACTGCAATTTTCATATTATTCAAGTCTTTAAGTCCTACTCTATTATATCTTTCATTTATTAAAAAACCCTAAATATTATTAAGTTATCAACTCAATAAAATGCAAATGAGTACATCAGTTTCTGAAAGAAATAATTTAATGGAGCTATCCTATCAAGACATACTATACTGTTAGAATGTAATTCTTTCATTTAAATTCATTTCATATTCACATTTCAACTTTTATTGGCCTGAAGAAGTGACTAGTTCAAGAAAATTTCAATGTCACGTATTTCATACCTATACATTTAAATAAGACAAGCTCTAATTCTAATATACTCAAGAATCAGTCAGTTTGTTCCTATCCTGTTCTCAATGAGTTTTAGAAAAAGAATTTATTAATTTTAGGCAGTTATATATCTTACATTGTCATTTTTCATCTTATGTAAATAGTGTGAAACTTTATTTAACCTTATTCTTTTTTCTTAGTCCACTATAAAAGTGAAAAATACAATATAGATCCCATATAAGCTATTAAAAAGTAAGATGATCTTTTTCTCTCTAGACCATATACCTTAATGTTCTTTTAAATGTTCTGGTTTTCTCATCTACATACTTGTTTTTCATTTGTTATAATTTCCTTTCAATATATAAAGCTTAATTAGAGCTCAATTTTTCATTAGGCAACTAATTTATACAGAAAAATATAATTTATGTGTAGGATTATTTATTTACTTGTTTTTGAAAGCGATAAATCCAGATAATAAAAAATATTTAAAATATCCATATTTAGTTTTACTTTTAAAAATTTTTAAATTCTCATGCTAGGCCTTCTATAGCTATATAATTATTATTGTTTTATAAATGTCTAAGAATACTTTTGCTGAATTTCGTCCTGGCACCATACTATGATTTCATTTAAAAATCAGACTATTTAAAAACCAGCTTTACCTTTATGGGATATTTTTCACAATCATCTTTCCTAACCTCAATATGCTTTATTATTTCTATTTAGGGTGTATTACTCAATAGTCAGTTAGGCAGAAGCTAAGAATCACAGAATTTATGTGTTCAAATAGTTGAAAGGGCATAAAATTCTGAAAAAATAGTATAACAGTGTGATATTTCTGTGTTACCTTGTCTAATTCTTATACTACTACTTTAATATCTATTATTTGACTAAAATAATACAAAGCAACTTATCCACAATTACAAGGATGCCAAATGGCAATCTTGGGATTAGAGTTCTAGTCAACCTGCATCCAGCTCATCATCCAATGTAGACATGTATTTCTAAAATAAATATCCAGCCCTTGAATAAATATATCCAATGACTGAATGTTTTTTACATGGCTAAATAAACTGGACTAATTCTGGTATAATCTTAAATCAGCTAACTCATAATACCTAAATTTGTGTGTCTCTATCTATTAATGTTCAGAGCATTTCCTTTATATTTTAAACTCTCATTTGTTTAGATGTGCTAATGTCTCGGATTTATTTAATTTGGCTTTTTCTTCTAATGTTTTGTTAACTAAACCAATTTAAATTTTTATACTGCTTTTGTTTTCACTGCTGTAGCTAAAAAGTTTGGGGGAAAAAAAACAGTCTAAAACAAGGTAGAAGATGCCTTCCCAAATAACTTAAATCTATTTAATACTCTAATGCTTAGACCTCATCACAAGATTCATAACTGCATTAGCTAGCCAGCATTTTTCTGTACACATAATTTGTGAAAGAGTGAGACAGAATCAAACTTCTGTTTAAGCATGTCCTGATATGCCAGTACATAGTATCACTATAAAGAACAGAGTGTAGTCACAGACAATGTGCTCTTTATGCACATACACTGGTTCTCAGTGATATTATCTCCTTTTAAAGAGTATACATCATTCACAGTTTTTAATAAAAGCATAACTTATATTAAAGTGAAATTAATCCAAAACCCAGCCACATGTTCCTGAAGCATCAAGAAAGCAAGAACATTTTCCATTGCAAATATACAAGCATCTAGAACACAGATTGTAAACTGGCTATCTGCAGGCTGCAACCAGCCAGCCCATGGCCATATTCTGTGTGATCATCACAGTCCTGGAGTAGTGGCTGTTGTTTAATTGAGTAAGTTGTCAATTTCTAAATCTCAGATAATTCACTTCAAAATCTCAATTTCTGTTCCTATAAAAATCAAAAGAACTGGCACTACTACACACTCATTTTTCACTCTGTTACAAATGCCTAAAGCTGAATATTGACTTCTGTCTTTATATGCATCGTATGTTATTCAGATCACCAAACTTACGTCCATAGTTAGGAACCTAACCTACTTTTCTCATTTCAGTCACCAACCTGGTCCTTGCAGGTAACTAAA